AGCGGCCAGCAACCGCGCGTTGGTTCCGAGGTTGCAGCGGCGTGCTCCTGGAGCGGGAAGAATCCGGAGGGGAGAAAACACACGGACACAATGAATCGTCGATTCACAGGAAAATATGGGAACATATGGGAAGTGGAGGGGGGAAGACAAAACCCAGAGAATGTGGGAAACCATGGGGCATGCTTTTATTTGTGTGTCGTTGTTTGTGTGTCCTGGGGCCCTTTTAAAGAAGCGTAAGCAACGACATCGAAACGGAATGATCGACTTGGTCGGCGCATACTGTGGACTGCCAGCTCTTTCCCGGCTATGCCGGGGAAAAGGCGTGGGACGAGCACAGCAGGCGGAAACATTTGCACGTGCAAGTTGTTCGGCTCGTCCTATACCAAAATTCAGGAAGACGCTATGAATTGGAAGTTGATTGAAGTTTTCTCCACCGCTGCCCGCGCTCGCCACTGTGACCGTCCCCATGCTCGCGCGAACGGCGCCGCTCCTCTGGAAGGCTACGTGGAAGCGACAGGGCACGACATCGAGACACGATGGTCGTCAACATGCTGCCGACGAGCCTCGAATTGCATGCGTTTGTTTGGAAGCGGGACGGCGATGCGGCTGGAAGGTTTAGACAGAGAATGGGGAAGGAGGAGGGGAAGGTGGAATAGGAGGAGGAGGAGGAGGATGAGGAGGAGGGCGGGTGAGGGGTGTAGACTCAGAAGGGAACGGATGGTAGACGAGGGAGTGGAGGGAAGGGGTGATCTTGGGAGGAGGAACGAGGCGGGGAAGGGGCAGTGGCGGAGGGTCGATGTGGGGTTCTCCCCCCCCAGTCCCCGAGCTCCCCTCAAGAGGTTGGCGACCCGGGGAAGAAAAGGGAACTCGGGGATACCCCCCCTGGAGGGGGTTATTCGGATGCACCATCGTCGAGGCTGGGCGCCCCCCTCTCGCACACATTCCCGCGTTGGGCCCAGCATGTCCGCAGAGTCGGATTTGGGTGGCCATGGCTTCTGTCAGGCGAGGGGGGAAGGCAAGAGTACCCATCGGTCGTTGAAAGTAGGTATGTTTGGATTCTCAGATTCCAATCTACTTTCAGCGCCCTCCTACTTCAAGAGTCGAACGGTTTTCCCTCTTCCCTCCTCTTCAGGAGGCGGGGCGGAAACCCAATCTAGTTCCAACGCCTTCCTACTTCATGTTTCTACCTACTTCTTCCGACCGATGAGTACCCCCCCCCCTGGGCAAGTCAGGGGTAACGACAGGGGAGGATTTGCCTCTTAGGGGGGGGCACCTCGACGCCCAATCGCCCACTGCTGGTCGACAAGGACCCGTTCGCCCACCCCGCCCAGGGACGTGCGGTTTCGCGGCCGGGGGCTTGCATCGCCGATACATCGGCGATGTACCGCCGATTCCAGGTCGATGTTTCCCCCACCTGGTGCCAGTCCCTCGGTACATATTGGTCTGCGGGTCGAGAGCGAGCCTCTTCCGGTTAAAAGCTAGGCGGGCCGCGCAAAGCAACAATTGGGGAGACAGAGCGCGGGCGGGCGGGGCCTCAGGCGGCCGGAGGGCGCGGGGTGCCAGTCCCTCCATACAGACAAGTCGCAGAGTAAGGATGAGCAACTTTCCGAGGCTACCCTTGCATTATTGCCCCTTCCGCCCATCCTTGTCGACTCTCGCTGGCCAGCCCCCTTCGAAAACGCCAACATGGCCTTCCATGGCCCTAGCATCCTTACTGCGCATCCTGATTATGCGACTTGACTGAATCGCTGCCCCACAGCTGGGGGCCAGCCATTCGCAGGTGTCGCCGGGCTGGCAGCCCATCGCGCCGCAGGTGCCCGCGCCGCAGGTGTCGCCGTACCCCAGCGCCGCGCAGGCGCCGATTGTCGGCGTCGTCGTCGTCGACGCCGCCGCCGTCGTCGTCGTCGTCGTCGTCGTCGTTTTCGTCGTCGTCGTCGTTGTCATCGATCGTGCCACACAGGTACGATCGGAATGCGTACGGGAAGAGAGTACCATCTCGCGTCGTGAAAGCATCACCGCGTCAGGTGTTTTTTCTATCCTTGTCTCCGAACGATAAACGTGTAGAATCTGACCAAAAGCCATGGGGGGTGGGCGAGGGGCCTGGCCGTGGGTTTGGTATACAAGCTTCCCCCCCTGGGGCGTGTCTCTCGTGAACTGAACGTGGCCCCGTGGGGCGGAATCTCACTGGGGTGGGGGGGCCCTTGGCATCGCTCGGACGTGTGCAGTTTCCCTTCGGCGAGAGCCATCGAGGAGCATCCTTGACCATTTGGCGAACAAAAACACGCACGACACAGAACAAAAAGCACGGGGAATCGACGTCCGAGCGATGGCCAGGGATGTGGTATGCACAGAATCTTGGGGACCGTCGGCCCACGGAGACCCTCGCCCGGCCCCCTGGGGCCGTCCATGGAGCCGCCCTGGGTGGACACCATGCCGTTCGCTCCTGGCGATATATCACCGGCGTGATTGGGGGGGGGGGGCGGGAGGGGGGGAGACTCGGGGGCGGGAAAGAGGGGGGTGATGACTAGGGGGGGGGGGGTGGATATCATGGCGAGGGCCATGATATTTGCCCAGATTTCATGGCGCCTCTTCTTGTCTCATTACGTCCCTGGCCCCCCCGCTGGGCCGCGCACATGCCGCCGGTCATGATTTGCAACCCTCCTCTTGGACACCCACCTCTTGGCCGCTCCCGGGGAGACGGGGCCGCTGGCAGCGCCACGATGCGCGCCAACGCTGCCTCGAAATTCCCTAGGGAACGCTACTTTCCAGACGGCGCCTGCGCGAGTAATCAAGGATGGGCGGAATGCATGGGGGGGGGAGGGCGGGGCTGGTAATGGGCGCTCTCGCGAGTAATCAAGGATGGGCTCATGGAAAGGACCGGTTCCAGGGAAGAGCGCAGAGCCTCTGAGGGTCCTCGCTGTGAAGAGATCACGAAGTCGTGGTGACCCCAGATGCATGGACCCCTCCGCAGGGACTGGCGTTCCATCCCGAGTTGTGTCTCGACGCTCCGTGTTCCCAGCGAGGGCCCCCAGAGGCCGATAAAGGACCTCCAACAACCTTCTGTCGTGATTTGTTCATGGCGCGAGGGGGTCTAGGTTCGGTATCGCTTAACCGATCCCCATCCCATCTCCATCCCCTTCGAGACCTCCGCCAAATTGCCACCCCAGTTGGGGCTACACTCTTCGAAACCCGCAGAGAACGACCCATACCCCCATCTATGGGGGGGTGAATGGGCCAGCGGGGCCCAGGCCACGCCGCCGGGGATGGGGATCGGTGAAACGATACTCATAGGTCTGAGGACTCACGCTGTGGAACGATCTGTGTTCCCAGGGAGGACTCACGCTGTGGAACCTCCAACAGCCTTCTGTCGTGTTTTTTCCATGGCGCGAGGGGGTCTAGGTCTGAGGTGATGGGCCTGCTTTCCACCACCACCACCACCACAAGTTGGAGGGGGAGAGAGGTGGACGAGGCGGAGGAGGAGGAGGAAGAAGAGGAGCAGGAGGAGGAGGAGGACCCCCTCCCCCTCCTACTCATGGTGACGGTGGTGGAACACAGGCCCACCATGAGGACTCCCGCCGTGGAGCGATTCTCACATCGGGGGCCGCCGGCGCCGTGCCGCCGTCGTGGCCCTCGGCGCGCCGGTCGTGGCCGTGGCCGCCCTCGCCGCGGGCCGCCGCGCGGCACGTCGCCCGCCGCCGCCGCGCGGCGCGTCGCCCGTCGCCCGCCGCCGCTGGCACGGCGCCCCGTCGTCGGCGGCGGCCCGCCGTCGGCGGCGCCGATCGCCCGCCGCCGCCGTCGTCAGTCGGGAGCCTTGAGTCGGGGGAGCGTAAGACCCGGGTTTGCCAGGACTCGGGTTCGCCATTTTTTTTTTGACGGCCGCGCCTCGGATTTTGACGAGGAGAGGAGGAGTTTCGTGGGATGTCTGCAGCGGGAGGCCTCGTCGAAATGCAGCCTCGGCCTCGTCATTTTTTTGACGACCTCGTCGGGGATTTCCGAGTCCCCTGTACCCAGGTCTTACGTCCCCCTGGCAAGGAGGGAAAAAAAAACACACGGACACAATGAATCGTCGATTCTCTTAGAGGCTATGGGAAAATACGGGAAGTGGGGGGGGAAGGCGAAGACACCCAGAAAAGATAGGGTAATATGGGGATCATTTTATTTGTGTATGTATTTGTGTCCCAGGGCCCCTTCAAAGGCGAGCGGGGGTCAGCCAGAGCGCCCGATTCTGCAGGAGCCTGCAGGGCCTCGGGGCCGCGCGGGCTCGGGCTGGAGCGCAGGATCTGGCGTCCTGCAGGGTCCTTCGCATGGACCCCGGTTTGGGAGCAGGATCTTGCATTAAGTCGGGCCTGTCCCTCTACAGGGGGAATGCTCAAAAATGGTCAAAACAATAGTCTGGGGACTTTTTTGTTTGACCATTTTTGAGCATGTTTGAAATATCGTTGGGGTATTTTTAATTTTTCGTCCAAATTCGGCCTGTGGCTGGGGACAGGCCCGACTTAAATCTTGCAGGATCCTGCAGGATTCTGCAAGGCCTGGATTGACCCAGGTCAGAAGCTCCCAGAGTCATCACCATCGCCACCGTCCCCCAAAACCCGACGCTTTGAAAGAATCAAGGCGGAGGTGCGTCGCCTGATTTGACCTCTGAAGCCCCTCGCCGGGCTCCTGGGATCGGCGAACAGAAGGGCAGCTCGGGATACAGAGCCGGCCCCGGGACAAAGGGTCGCGACTTCTAGGCTCGGCACGAACGAAATGGGCACGGAAAGAATGGGTACAATGCCCAACAACAGTTCCTGTTCATTTTGAACAGGACTCGCTGTCGGTGTCGCCCGCGGCCTGTGTACGTTTGAGACAGAAGGCTGCCTGCCCAACAGCGGCCGCTGTTGGTTTGGGACAAAATTCGCTGCTGCGCATAATCCCCATTTTCCGTACCCCTGTCGGGCGTCCAAAGCAGAGGAACCAGAGGCCATGAGCACGAGCAGTGGTTGGCTGCCTCGGAGGAGGCATGGAGGCCAGCGCTGCCGAGAAGTCCACGGCGAGGGGCCGGTTCCTGGGCGGGGTGGCACGCCGGAGCGTCGTCGTGGCTTTGGTGTTGGAGCGACGCTCGGGCAGGCCACCGCCCGGGGATTTGACCTCCACCCACGGGTTCTCGGTGGTGGTGGTCCGCGCTTCTCTCCTCGGATCCCAGGCCCCCTCGCGCCACGAGCAAAAATCAGGACGGAAGGTTTTGGGGTGTGTCCGGCCTTTGGGAGGTCTTCGCCGAGCCCCCGGACTGTCGAACGACGTCTCAGGATTGCATGACGGTGCTGTGCATTGGCGCATCCGATCCGCTCCGTCCCCATGCAGCCCGATCCGACTCTCATTCCGATCCGATCCGATTTCTCGATTCGATGCTCTCCGATCCTGCCCGCTGTGCCAAACTCGGAAGCTGCTGGCCCTCCAGTCACAGGTGCTTTTTCGCCCCGACCCCCCGACTCTTCCACGGAAAATCAAGCCGCTCAGAAAAGGAGAGACACTCGGGGATACACCCCCAGTGGGCTATTCGGACTCACCCCTATCGAGGATAGACGCCCCCCTGTCGTATATCCTCGAGATGCACCCAAGCATTCCAGTCCATTCGAACACCCCGCGAGACCTGGGCTAAGGGTCGACATATCTCCTGCCATCCAGTGCTGCCATCGGCCCTCTGCGCGCAGATCCGGCAGCAGGTCTGCCTCTCGCCTGCCCCGCGGCCAAACTAGCAGGCCTCCGCTGCAGCGCAGCGGGCCACACTCCACGCCGCTTCGGCTCTGGCCGTGTCGGGCCAAGCTGCGACCAAAGTCCAGCAAGTGTCTCACGAAAGAACAGAAAACTACATAAAGACACTTTCCCTGAGTTCCGCGCGGATTTCTTCGATTGGCGCAGGGCACCCCTGGCGGCGCCTCTGGCGCCAATCCAAGAACATTCGTGTGGACCTCTGGGAAATACGTTCATGCAGTGCTTCGTTCCTCTACGAAGTACGCTTCCGTTCAAACACGCTCTGCTTCTTGAGTATCGTGTACATCGTATGATCTCTGGTGGGCTTTCCATGGGCTTGTGTCGCGCGTCAGAAATTGCAGTCCAGTCGCGTACCACATACAGAGTTTCCCATTCCGCCGCCGTTCCTGTGTCCACCGAAGCGGAAGGGGCTTGAAGGATGCCAGAATTGGCCGACCTTGTAGCAGTGTTGGAAGATTTCCTCCCAGTCTGTGCCTGACAAGGTGCGCCGAAGAATAATCGCATTAACCTCCCCTCGGGCCACGCGACCCAGAAGGTCTGTCTGCCAGACCTTGCCGAGCTCCGAAGCGTCTAAATCGATTGCGGATGCAGCATGAGCGGCGTACTGGGTTCCAGCCTTCTTGGAAGGTAGGTGCATGTGGATGTTAGCGACTTGCAGGAACCCGGGTTGCATTTCCTGGAGGCGAGCGCATCCACGTTTTGGCTTCTGAATTGCGCGTGCGATGATAACGTCCTTGGTTCGTTTATCCCTGGGGTTGTTCCTCTTCCTCCTACGTACGTCATTTACGTACGTCGTTGAAGAATTGTGTCATGTCTTCGAGTGGGAATGACAGTATGTGTGCATACCTGTGTATGTATATACGTATATATGTACATTATGTACATGTGTATGCGTATGGTCGGGTAGCCTGGTGCTGCCTTTTTCTGGGCGGTTAGTGTTTCGCTTCGCGTGAGGTCTGGACGCTCATGACGCAAAGTGGCCGCCGCACGAATCGTGCGCATGCAAAAAAACAAGGAGCAGGAACGGTGTGGGCCCCACTTGCAAACAAGGAGCTCGTGAAAGGGCTGCACGAAAGAGAGACGCCCAAAGCGATGCCCCACAGTTGTTGTCCAAGAACGACATCGTTCTCCATTGCGACTGCTACGACTCGTACTAGATGGGCAACGTCTGTGGCGACGCGGATCGCACATTCGGCTCGAAATGGGCAGGCATTGTTGTCGGTCTCTGTTCCAAAGCTTCGCGTCCCCATTTCTGGTCCTCGGAGGAAAGGGCAAGAAAAAAGGGACAGACAATAACTGGGTTGAGGTGCGTGCCTTCCCCTACAAGGCGGAGGAAGGAGGAGGGAGGATGAGAAGGATTATGAGGATAGTCATACGTATGAGTCAGATGAATACGGACGAGCAGGTAAAGGAGGAGGAGGAGGCAGGGAAGGAGGAGGATGAGGGAGATGGATGAATCAGCATGTTCCCTTGAAGGCTAAGGGAGAAGGTAGAGGCAACAGGAGGAGGAGGAGGAGGAGGAGGAGGATAATGATGAGGAGGATCTTGAGCAATACGAAGGAGGAGGGATGAAGAGGAGGAGGAGGCGGAGGAGGATGGAGGAGGAGGAGGAGGAGGAGGAGGATGGAGCATGGAGGAGGATGGAGGAGGATGCCGGCCGATTGTCCCGCAGGTGCCCCCGCAGCCCATGGTGCCGCAGCAGCAGCCGCCGCAGCCCATGGTGGCCCAGCAGCCGCAGCAGCAGCCCATGGGCACCATGGTGCCCCAGCCGCAGGTGCCGCAGCCGGCCGCGGTGGCCCGGGGCTCGGCGAAGCCTCTCCTCCCCGGACATCTTCTCCGCGTGCGTTCCACTGCTCGCAGAGTGCCTACTCGCAGACGTCCGAGAAACACGTCTGCTCTGATGTAGCTTCTCGTAGATCCCCCCGCGGGGGATCGGGCCTGACCCTCTACAGGAGGAGCATTCAACCATAACCCACAAATAGTCTGGGGACGCTTTGTTTGAGCATGTTCTCATTTGTTGTTGAGCATTTTGGGGGTATGTTTGAGCATTAAAAAATCGTCCTAAATCCCCATGTAGGGGAGGGTGGACACGCCCAACGTGACATTTGCGAGTCGTGCCCTTGCGAGTCGTGGAGCGCGCTCGCCTAATGGAGGGATGGGGGGCCCAGACCTCCGCGTCGCCGTGCAGAAAAACCTCACGGCGGGCGTTTTTTTTTTGGGGGGGGAAGCTCTCGGCCTCCTGGCCGGAGGAGGAAAAAGGCACCCATCCCTCGGAGGCAACGCCTGGGAGGTCAGATTCTGATTCTGCCCTGGTCCGAAGCATAGCTTCATCCGCCTCGGCCTCTGGTCCGAGGAGGAACAGGCACCCATACCTCGGAGGCACCTCCTGGGACGTCAGATTCTGAGTCTGCCCTGGTCAGAAGTATAGCTTCATCCGCCTCGGCCTCTGGTCCGAGGAGGAACAGGCACCCATACCCCGGAGGCACCTCCTGGGAGGTCAGATTCTGATTCTGCCCTGGTCAGAAGTATAGCTTCATCCGCATCGGCCTCTGGCCCGAGGAGGAACAGGCCATTCCCGCTTCATCCGGCCTAATCCCGCCAGATCCCGCTTTATCTGGCTTCATCCCGCTTAATCCGAGGCCCACGCTGGCGTATCAGCCCCCAATGGTCGGGGGCGGCAACGAGGGGGGTGATGACAAGGGGGGGTGGACATCATGGCGGGGGCCATGATATTTCCCCAGATTTCATGGCGCCTCTTCTTGCTTCATTACGTCCCTGGCCCCCCCGCTGGGCCGCGCACATGCCGCCGGTCATGATTTGCAACCCCCCTCTTGGACACCCCCCTCTTGGCCGCTCCCGAAATTGGGGCCTCATCTTCTCTAATCCTTCCGGCGAAGACCTCACAGTAGTTGCCTTCCAACCAGACCCCTACCCCATCGCCCGCTTTCACCTTTGTGGGCTTCATGGGGGGCCCTCGTCGCCACCGGTGGATCCGCCTCGAAATCCTGGTCAGAACGCGCCCCAGGGAGAGGTCCGGGGGGTAGCGGTATCGGTACCTATTGGTTTCCCCATTTGGGGGCCTTCGCCGGGCCCCGGGACCGTGGAGAAAGGATTCTCAGAGGCGACGATAGGGGCGAATAGCCCAGGGGAGAGCAGTACATGTATCCAGGGGCGCCGATGATCCATGCATTCGACAATGCTCCCGGGCGAATGCGTGCAATGCCCGCCCCTGGGCTATTCGCCCTTCTCGTCGCCGCCGAGACTCAGGATGAAAAGCCGGTCACTGGGAAGGGGTCCACACTTCTGGGAGTTTCGTCGTGAACGCACATGGCGTGGGAGGTCGGAGGAGGGGGCCCAAGGGGGGTGGGGGTCCGAGACCCGCTGCGTGCAGCTGGTTTCGGCCCTGCCACCTGGCGCACTCTTCGAGGCATGGCCGTCAACGTCCCCGGGAGGCGCCGGGAGGACCAAATGCCCGCATCCGATGATTTGCTACAGCCCCCCCCCTTCGCAACCCCCTTCTCGTCCACCCCGAGATGCGCCTCCTCCTCATACGTCTGGGGGCTCCAGCGATAGTTCGAGCATCGGAACTTCATTTCAGCTGTTTGGCTCTGGGCAGTTTGCGGGCCCCGCGCTGGTCGAGACTCAAGACCACTCGGGATGTAATGGTGGCCCGCGGGCAGGGGTCGACAGGTGCGTGGGCCCACAGCTCAAACATTTCGAGCCGCCAGATGTTTAGGTTCATTCCTCTTCAGGAGGACGAGTGGGACGAGGAGGAAGGAGGAGGAGGGGGGGATCAGAAAGAGGAAGAATGGGAGGCTGGTGTTTGAAGGCTTTTGGGTATTCAGGAGGGCTCGAACGGCGTTCCTTCTCATCCATTGTCGTCTTCCTCATCCCTCCCTCCTTCCCTTCCTCGTCCGTCGTTGTTCCCCTCTTCCCTTCCTCCTTTTCTCCTCCATCGCCCTCGTCCTCTCCCCCTTCTCTCCTCGTCCTCCTCCTCCTCTTCCTGCTCCTTTTTGCCTTTCGCGTAGACTGGCCGGTGTCCTCTCTGTGTTTTGGACACCTAACGATCAGATGATACTAATCACCCTTTCGCTGCTACACATTCAACACATGTGGATCTACACTCGAGCGCGTAACCATGCTGTTGCAGGCATTTTTAAACGAATATGATCCTCCTTTCTGCCCCTACACTTTCCACCGCCCCCTCCTTCTTCCAGCTCTTCCTCATCCTCCTCTCTCCCATTCCTTCCTCTTCCCTGCTTTTTCTCTTCCCTTCTTCCTTGTCCTTCCACCTCCCTCCTTCCTCATCCCCCCCCCCCTTGCTCCTCCCTGCTCTTCCCTCCGTCCTCCGTCCTCCCTCCTCCTTTTCAACCCCCCCGCTCCTGATCATCGGCGTGCGCGCGCGCGCTCCCGCGCGCGCCAGTGGAGGAGGAGGAGGAGGAGGAGGAGGAGGGAGCAGGCTGCGGAGGAGAAGGAGGACGTTGGCGAGAGGAGGGAAATACCCTGTCCTCCGCCGATCTGTGTTTGTTTTTTGTTCCTAGCCGCGGCCCCGAGGTCACGACCGCCGCCCCGCGGACAGTTGTCCGTCCCGCACTCCTGCTTTGTAGCCCAGCGGCATGCACACGGCTCCCAGGGCAGGCATCCAGGAACAGAAGCCGCCAGTGGGCAAACATCAGGTCGTCGTAGATCTGGGGCAGAGGGGGGGAGTGTGGACGCAACTCCTTGCAGGTTGAATTCGGTATTGGCGGTGGTAACTCTGGCGCCCCATCTGGCATAATGCAGCTGTAGTTTTGCCCATTTCCGTGTAGCCCCGCTTCATCGGGTTCAATCGTTGCTTTATTTTGGCATTTCGGCCCGATGGGCCACATTTTGAAAACGATCCACGTTCAATCCGTGATATGGTTTCTTTTTTCTGTGTGCTGTTTATATCTAGTTTCCGCGGCGTAAGGCGAGAGCCACATTTTGAAAACGACGTCGCCTTCAAGCGGTGAAACTCTTGCAAATGTTTGAAACGACTGCGCGCGGCTCTAAGGCGAGAAGCACGTTTTGGAAACGAGCCGCCGTCCATTAGCGAAATTGCTGCTAATTCTAAGCCTCAGGGTCATCAGTGGTGAGGAAGTATGGGGCAACACGCCCGACCCGCCCCTTTCGACCAGCCTTGGGGTGCGACTGGGACGAGTTATGTATAAGGAAAGGACTGGAGGAGGAGGAGGAGGATCAGTGTAAATTCAAGATTCATCAACGATGTTGGAATAAGCTTTCCCCCCAAGCTCCATCATCAGGGGCCCTCACAAGGATTCGTGCCCATTGAGGGAAGTGCACCGTTGTGAGGCAAACGTTGGAAGATCCTGAAGCGCGGCAAAACACCATGTTCGGACCTTCGACGCAAAGAATTCACCTGACACCTACTCTTGGCGATCCCGAGCCGTGCCCGAACATCGTTCTTGGAACTTCAACAGCGAGTCCACGTAACTGTTGCGCTCTGACAGTCCTGAATCGCTCGGAAAGCCATGCGTGGTACGTTACCCATGGGGGTCCGTGAATGTCTTGCAACTTTGTTAAACGAATCTGCGCGGCGCTAAGGCGAGAGCCACATATTGAAAACGACGTCGCCATCAACCGGTGGAACTCCTGCAAATGTTTGAAACGACTGCGCGCGGACCAGATTTTGAAAACCACCCGCCCTCAGTCCGCGAAGCTCTTTACTTCTCTTTAAACGATTTTGCGCGGCGCCAAAGCGGAACATCATATGGAAAATTATTCGACCTCAATCCGTAAAGCTCCATCATTGGTTTTAAACGAGTGCACGCGCGCTAAAGCGAGAGCAACATTTTGGAAACGAGCCGCCCTCAATGTGTGTAGCTCTTGCCAATGTCTAAGCTGCAGGCTCATACATGGTAGGAGGTCTAAGGCAAACCGCCTGGCCCGTTCTTTCGACCAGCCTCGGGGCGCAACAAGGCGGAGCTATTTCTTAGGAGAACGAATGGAGGATGAGGAGGAGGAGAAGGAGGAGGAGGAGGAGTCACGAACGGCAAGACTGTCCGCATCCGTGCCCCCGTGGTCTGGGTTCCGGGGCGCGATCCCGCGGACGCGGTCGTACGGATACGTTCCGCGCGGAGAATCCGCGAAGAAGCGCCCCGTATTTGAGGTGGCGCGGCACACGGGCCGGGCCCGCGAGGCCATGGATGCCAGCATTTGTTTGCGCGCTTGGAATTGGCGTACCCTCAGGCCCTCAGAAACCTTGCATCAAGGTCACTCTTTCCTCGGACCAATTTGCGTGTAATCGATTTGTCGGCCAAGAACGTGGACAACGACGACGGCTGTCACGCCGACGGCCGCGACGCCGACGGCGGCGACGACGGCGACGACGGCAGCGGCTCTCGCTGCGGAGCACGAGGTCGGCCAGGCGCCGCTGGCGGTGCCGCAGCTTCCGGCGGTGCCTCCTGTGGCCCAGGCGCGGCTGCGGCGTCGTCGTCTTCGTCTCGGGTGTTCCTAGAAGTGCCCCTGGCCCAAGATGCCCCCAGGATTTCCAAGGAGGCTCCCGCGGCCTCCGGAGAACCCCTCCCGAGGCCCAGAGGCCCCAGGTGCTCGAAAAAGCTTGGGTATCATGGGCCAGGGGCATCATGAGCAACCCCCGATCGTCGAGGGGGAGGAGGAAGCTCAGCGTAGGAAACGGTACCAATACCGCTACCCTCGCCTCGTTCTCGCTGTTTGGGGCCTTCTGGGAGAGCCTCGACGCCACCGTTGGGTTCGCCTCGAAATTCTGGTCAGAGGGCACCCTGGGAGCAGATCTGGGGAGCAGCGGTATCGGTGCCTCTGCCTTCCCAGGGGATGCAGGAAGGAGGGAGGGATCGAACAGGACTCAGGGGAGGAGAAAACACGCAGAAAATGTAGGAAAATATATGGGAAGTGTGGGGGGGGGGAAGACGAAAACCCAGAACATATGGGAAAAGATTGGGAGTCCTGGTATCTGTGCGTATTTATTTGTGTGTACTTGGGCCCCTTGAAGGAGGGAGGGATCGAGCAGGACATCTGTATCGACATGAACTCTCGACGGCCCGCGCGGACTTGGGTCTGCCCTGCCCCCCCCCCCTCCCTGGAGGGGGGGCCAGCGCAGATCTAAGACATTCGCGCCGACCCGTCTCTCCTCCATCCAACCTCTCCTCCTCCTCCTTCTCCTCCACCTCCACCTCCTCCACCTCCTCCTCATCCTCCTCCTCCCCGTCTCTCCTCCATCCAACCTCTCCTGCCCCTCCTCCACCTCCTCCTCCTCCTCCTCCTGCCCAGAGTCTGTGGGCGTGCCCCTCTTTCTCTTCTTAAGTGAGGAAGGATCGATGGGGAAGCGGCTCGTGCTGTCTCGTGTTCCGTGCGGCTGCGAAAAACTCGCGCAACAGCACGTGCCGGATCCCCAAAGGCGCCCGAGAGCGCCAGGGTCTCGGGGCAGTGGGCACATTCTCATAATCTTTTGTACTGAGGACAGGAGACTTCAAGAGGCCTGAGGACACTTCCACTCGTGCCTCGTGACACGCTTTGATATTTATGTGCACTTACATACTTTGATATGAGATTTGACTGCAGTCACGCTTTCCGCCATGCACCTTGATCCTTCAGGTTTGGTATGCAGGCGGAAGGATAATATACACAGTACATGGCGATATTTCATGGCTGCCTTTCGCGGCACTGTCGTCGTAATAATGTTGTTTCTTTTCTTTCTCTCATTGTTCCATTTCCTCTCTCTTATTCTTGTCTTACCCTGGGGGCTGCCACCCTGCTTCCAACCGCGGTCTCCCTGAACGACGTGGTCACGATTTCGATTGCTTCGTGAGGCGCCTTGCGGCCATGTTTGGCCGTCATGGTGTTCTCTTCGTGCCGTGACGGGGCCCTGCTGGGCCATATCATGGATCTTGGAGTATCTGTAAGCCTTTTTGGGTCGTTTCGGGTCTCGGACGCCCAGAAGACCGAAGAGCCGAAGATTCAAGACATCACGCGCAAACCAATTTATAACAAAAGTTTGGGAGCGTTGCCAGGGCCTCTCGGGTTTTTTTGGGGGGTTGTCTTTGGGCGTCTGGTGGGTGTCTGGGGCCGTTCGGGGTTCGCTGGGCCGTTCGGCTGGCCTCCTGACCGACTTGGGCAAGTCCGCTCGGCCCAGCCTGGGCGTCCAGGAGCCCCACGAAGCCCGGGGGAACCTTCAGCAGGGGCGTCCAGGGCGAGGCGAAGCTGCGCGAGTTCCTGCACTGGTAGTGGCCACATGGAGTCCACAGGGTCGCCCCCCCCCCGCCCCCGGGGCGGGCGCGTGTCCCGTGGTTGTCCCGCGGTTGTCCCGTGGTTGTCCCGCGGTTTTCCCGTGGTTGTCAGCAGCCGTCCCGGCTCAGGCTTGGGGAGCTGCTACCAAGCAGCGGCGAGCGCAAGCAGGGACAGCTGCCAAACGCGTCGGCCCGATGACGAAGGCCAGCACAACACAGCTAGAGCACGGGCCGACGAACGCCTCAGACTTGGACAAGTACCGCAAGCACCGCCTTCATTTGGAAAAGCAACTGGATGCGATCAGGGAACAGTTGGACATTGGATGTGATCTTGGTCACACGAGAGCCATTTTCGCAGCACTGGAGACTGATACCGCTGTCCCACTGTGTATGGTCATTTGTTTGCGAGGCCTCCATATGGAATGGATTGCGCATCAAACTCAGTATGTTGAGAGATGGCAGAAACGACCCAATGATGTTGTCAAGACTGAGGAGGAGGCGAAAATACCTTCAGAACTGTCAGACACAAACAGCTCATGTTCGCCAGGACTTGGGGACAAAACGCACCATTGTTTCACAGAGTCACTCCAAAGCGTTGGCAACAAATGAACAGGCGGTCAAGGAGGAACAGATCAGTGACGTGGAGATAGTAGACGAGGACATGACAGGTGTGCCACAGGCATGTCCAGTCAAAAAGAGAGCAGCCGACCCCAGCTCTCCCGCATCAGCTGCGCCACCCATGAGCCCAGTAAGCACAGCGGGCCCAGCTCAGAACACAGCGTTGCCAGCCACGCTCGCCTCGATGAGTGCGAACAACAATTACATTGTCACCCAGCTCATGAAGTTGGCAGAGCAGATGGGTACAAGACAGATCACATTGGCGAGGGCTGGCATCACGCAGTCGTCAAAGCAGCAGCAGGAAGCTCAGCCATCTCCGCCGCAACCATCAGGGCAGCCAGCAGCGTCAGACCCAACCATGGCTGCATCGTCAGAAGACCTGAGAGATTATCACGAGCGAATGTCAGTGCAGGACGAAATGGTTCCGGCACTCGACGGGCAGGGACAGTGACCGAATACCGCCAAGAAAATAGTTAAGTTATTTAGACCATTCTTCCAGAAGGTCCAGCAGAAGGACAAGGAGAAGGCCCGCTGCATAGAGGTTTTTGCCAATGGGGGGAAGAGCGTCAAGCAGCAGGAGGACGACGACGACCTGCCTTCCTTCAGCTCCGACGGCGAACCGCCGCACATGGAGGAGCAAGAGCATCAAGTTTTTCGATAGCGTACTCGAGACCTACAGCGCCTGCTCGAAGCTCCCCAGAGGGTGCGCGCGTCACAGGCGCATCCAAACGAGATCTTGCATGCACTCCACTTCCAGAAGTGAGCTCCACGTTTCACAACTTTAATACGCCTTGGCCCGAAGGTCTCTGTGATGATCTCCTCTCTGGTGCTCCTTTTTTGACACTCAGTTACGATTCGTGGTTTATCAGAATTGGCAGCACGAGTCGTTTCAGAAAGACCGACGAGGATCGACAATTGCACGGATGGGTCAGCAGGGGTTACAACTACACAGCCGGTTCCGATTCCCCTCCCCCATCTTGGGCATTCTGTGTCACTGCCAGCAGTGACGAACACACGTGGCTTGAAGGGTGCAAAGCAGGGGCCCTACCAGGTATCAGGGACATCATCTCTCCATCCTCTTCCTCCGCCTGCGCCGAGCTACAAGCAGCATCTTGAGCCTCCCTTGCCAGCGCCGAGCAGAGCGGTTCTGTGGAGAATGCCTGGGGGGCTTTGCATGCTTCCACACGTTTCGAGCGCGCCGCCACCCGTGACTCGGCGCGGTGAGTGGCGCCAGGCTGTGCCGGTGCGCAGTGTTGGCAGCTCTATATGCGGGCCCTTTTGCATTATCACCATCAGCGTCATCGTGCATCGTCGCCGTCTCGCGATGGCAACGCCAGCATCGTCGCCATCCAAGTCATAGCAGTAGTCGTCAGTGGGTTTCCCCTGGCTTAGCATCCTTATCACCCGAAGGGTGGTCGTATAGGTAACACATTTGTATATGCGTGGTACTCTTCAGGTCTATACATATATATATATATATCTCTTCACATATATAGATGTGTGTGCGCGCAACAAGAATTCCTGATAAACAAGATGTCGTGATCACTTCAGGTGAGCGGTCGGTATCCCCTCTCTTCCCCCTCGGGTGCCTGGGGGAGGGATGGGGTGGGAACCCCTATCGTTTTCAATTTTTTTTCGGATGGGGGGAGCAACCGCCCCCCCTTCTCGAGTTCGGAGTGCGGGGGGGGGGGGGAAGTTCACCCTTTTTACACTCACGCAGAAAGACGACGACAGGCAACGATGCTACCACCAACGCCGACGACGACAGACGTCTGACGACCGACGACCAAAACCAACGTTGCCGACCGCGACAGCAATGGCAACGTCCAGGACGGCGACAACGACGACGACGACGACGATTCCGGTGGCGACGGCGACTACGGCGACGACGACGACGGGGACGGCGACGATTACGGCGACGACGACGACGACGAGTGCGACGAAGTCTTCGATAACGACAACTCCAAGATGCTTTAATGATTTACCCGCCTGTCAGCCCGTTTGAATGTCCCGCCCTTTGAGGTCCGCCCACCCGACCCCCTCGTCAAGGTCCGCCCGACCGACCTGCCCGGTAGGGTACGCCCTCTTGCTTACACATAATCCCGCACGCCCGTTTCAAAGTTCCGCCCGCCCGCCCGCCCGTCATGGCCTGCGAGCCAAATCCCGCCAGTCAGGGCCCGCCCGCTCGGCACGACCGTCCGTTTGCATTGAAGTTCGCCCGCTTGAATGTCACGCCCGCCCGAAGGAGAAGGGGGTGGGACTAGGAGAAGGAGGAGTACGAAGAGGACGAGGAGGATAAGGAGGAGGAGGAGGAGGTGGAGGAGTAGGAGGAAGAGGACCTCCTCCCCTTCAAACGTATGGTGGTGGTGGTGGTGGTGGAAAACAGGCCTATCAGTCTTCGATCGCTCCGCGCGGGCGCTGCACACCCGCGGTGCCGCCGCCTCCGGCGAGGGCACGCGGCCGTGTCCAATGCCTCCAGGGCCTTCTCCGTGTCAGCCGCCCTTCCAGCTGCTCGCTAGCGCGCCTTTCCGTGTCCCTGAGCTGGGACTCCAAGGCGTTCTGAACGCTCCTGGCCGATCTCGTGATTGGCCTTCTCGAAGCTCCGCTCGAGGTCCGTCTTTGTACTTCCCGCCTGCACCGCGCCTGCCGCAGCAGCCGCCTCGGGCCCCTCACGGGCGTCGACGGGCGCCGCACTCCTGCGAGCGCCCGTCGCGCCCGCATACCTCTGCTGCGTGGGGGGCCGCCTCGGCACTGGGAGCGGGGGGGAGCGCGCCCCCTGCGCCTCCTGCACCTCCACCGGCCGCTTCTACTCGGCGCACGACGGCGCGGGACAGCGCACGCGGCTCCCGGCCGCGTGGGCTCGCAGCCGCGGCGGCTTCCGGCGCAGCGAGGGCGCGGAGGCTGCGCTCAGTGGCGCGGCCTCCTGCACGGCGGTGCTGCGCCCTGCGGTCGGCCGCGGGGCGGTTGGGCCGCGCACGCCTGGGTGGCAGCACCAGCGATCCTGGCGCCCGACGTGCGCGCGGGCCGGGGGGGGGGGAGGCGCGGGAGAAGAGCGAGCAGCGGCCGGGGGGGGGGGGGCGCCTGGCGCTGGCTGGCTCGCCGGGCCCAGGGAGCCCATGCCGAGATTGAGCCGGAGGAGGAGGGAAGAGGAGGCCGATCACGAGGAGGGAAAGGAGTGTTCGCCATCCGCCGCAAGGGGCTGCAGCCGTCCATGCCGACGTCGCAGTCGCAGCAGGCGCGGGTCCCAGCGGCATTTTCCCCCTCCGCGGGCCCCAGCGGGGGGCTGAGACATTGGAGGCCTCCAGACGGTGCGATGACCACACCATGTGGTGAGTGAGTGGGGATCGGTTTAGGGGACTTGGGTTGTCTCTGGGAAGGTCTCGGGCGATTGGGGCCCATACGGGCCCCGAAACCGTGCTGTGATGGACCGTGCGGTGACGTCTGTCGGGGATTCTGAGGTCGCTGCACGGTCTGTCACCGCACCGTCTCGGGACCCCCAGGAAGGGTAGAACTCCGAGGCCCAGGATGGATCCTTCACCGCCGCCTGGGCCATCGATCTTCGGATACCTCGGCAGGCGGTGGATGTGGGAATATTCGGGCCTTCGGTTGGGGGGGGGGGGGGGCAAATCTGTCCGTCGTTGAAGCCCCCGAAGATCGATCTCCCAGACGGTGGTTGTGGATCAAACCCCGCCTCGCAGCAGGGCGTCGAGGCGTTGCGTCTGTCGCCGTCCTTGCGTTGTAGAGGCCAGCTTCGGGCGTGGGGGTGTCAAGAGTCGACTCGGGGCGAAAAGCCGGCCCCGAGGAAGGGGCCGCGAGGTCTGGAGGGTCCGCGCATTGATGCACATTGGAGCGTCCGAGGTCGGGCTCCTCTTCCTCCCAGTTGCTCTTCGCTCCCACCTCATCGTCGTTTTTGCCGTCGTGGTCGACGTCATGCCGCCCCCCTGTCTTCTATCCTCCCCCCCCCTTGTGTCCCCTCCTTCTCCCCCCTCCTCGTGCAGGTCCGCCTTTTCCACCCCGCTCTTGACTAGACATGCCTCTTCGCATCCTCCACCAGTCCTCCCTCCTCACCTCCATCCCTCCTCTTCGCCATTTGGGAGGGAGTACGCAGGGAGAGTAGATGGGGAGGAGGAGGAGGCGAAGGCGTAGGTGTCTTCCCTCTTCACCCAGCCCGAGAACCCGGGATCGCCCCTTCCCTTTCCCCCTAATATTTCTCTGTTCCATGTTTGTTTGGGCAATTCCCCTTACGCTTGCCTTTCCTATAGTTTCCACCCTGTCTCTGTCCTCTCTCTTTCTCAGTTGTTGTCGTGCCTTCCTAGTTCCACATTCTGAGTGTTTGTCCACGTCCTGCTTGTTGTCCTGTGTAGTCCGTGTCATTGTTCTGTGTTTCATATGCTTGGATGTCCGTGTTCAGCCTGGTGGTCACCCCAACCGTCTTTTGCAGCAGTGATTGTTTGACCGTGCCGGCGGATGGAGCCTGCTGGCCTCAGGTGGTGGATTGTACGAAAAGAGCGTACAGAAGGGAGTGGAGTAATTAGCAGAGCAGGGGCAGAATATTGTTTCAGCGTGGGCTGTCACTGTGCATATCAGTCGTTGCTTGCTATAACGTGTAACGCGTGCTCTGCGCTGTGTGGACTGAAATGTGCATTGTGCACTGTGAGCTTCGCAGCGTGGGCAACGTGCAAAGTATAGTGTGCTCTGTTTTGTGTGATGGCAGCTCGAGTAGTGTGGGATGTGTCGTGCGTGGTGGTTGCTGAGCACTGCGCTTTGATCATTGTACACTAACAGAAGGAAGCACGACGCAGTGTAGATAAGAATCGGGTTCGGTCCGACTCCGTACTTACCGATTGCGCGCGCCGTTTCCGCAACATGCAAGTGGGTTGGCCCGTCCTTGCACTCTACTCTACCCTGGGCTACTGTAGTTTCTCATTGATGCTGAGCCGTGTAGGAGTAGAGGGAAGGTTGGGACGTAGAGTGACGTAGCGTTCACCGTAGATGCTGGAGAGTGTAATGCAATGTATGGAGGCGAAGTCGAGGGCATATCTTACATTAGGGTACAGCAGATCGTGCTCATAGTTTAGGTACAGGCAGAACCTGTTCATAGTATAGATGTGTAGAACATGTCTTGCATATTATGAGTAAGATAGATCGTAAACAGCATATAGTCAGGGCTCATTTCGGTTCCTCCGATTCGATTCGATCCGATTTCGAGGGCTTCCGATTCCGATTCGATTCGACTTGGGATTCCGATTTGGGCTCCGATTTCTCATTGGAGGCATACTAGCCTCCCGATGTCCGCCGATTCGACTTTTCCCGACTCGGCTACCGATTTTCGTCGATCCGATGTCTTTCGATCGCCGATCTGACTTTCGATTCGATTCTGGGGCCTCCTGTATAGTTCTAAGATCGTGCCATCAACAAAGCACAGTGTAGGAAGTGAGACTGGGGTGCGTAGTGTGGTAGACGCGGGGATAGAGGGTAGATTGGATAGTGGCGTAGCGACAAGCTAGGCGCGCTCGCGCGATGTCTGATACCCAAACTCCTTTCCACCAAATCCGTCCCATGGTTTTGTTTTTGTGGTTACCCGCCGACGCGTGTCATCGTAGACCTGGAACTCCAATCCAACAAACCCGCTTTATGCGCAATCGCAAGAAGGTAGCCGCGTACATTGGAGGAGGGGAATGTGGCGGATGAGCAGGAGGATGGGGAAAGGAGAGGGGCGACACCGATGAGGAAGGACTCGGATTCAAAATAGTGTCCCGCGATGGGGCCAGATCGCCATTCCGAGCGACAGGGGCAACGCGTCGACTGTAAAACGAGGCCCACCCTGCAGCGGGAGCAACGCCGGCAGCTATCCGACGTAAGGTACAAATCAGAATTTGCGAGTGAGAAGTATACGCGGAGAAGGCGGGAGATCTTCCGGACAGGGCCAGGGAATAGATGAGAGTAGTGGTCATATTGAGTAATTGTGTATTGTGTATGGATCAAGTCAAGAATGGAGCTTATGTGATACAGCAGCGAGTCGAGTGGTGTACGGAATGAGAGAGAGTAGAACAGCCAGTTTGTGTTTTCGGCCCGTCTCTCTCTGTTTCCCGTGCGCACGTCGTTGCACAACCCACCACCGTTCAGTTGTTGTTTGTCGCACCATTTGAAATTTGGGTCTTGTTGGTTCTCCTCGGTTCCCTCTTAGGGGTCCTCTTGGGCCCCCCCTGGGACAGTCGAGGGAGCCTCTTGCCCAGCCATGCGGCCATCTCGGGCTGTCTTGGGCCCGTCTTGTTCGTCTCGGGGTCAGTGCGGTGCCTTCTTGGGCCCTGTTCGGCCATCTTGGGCCGTGCCTGTGTGCCGGCGATATTTACAAAAACGATACGGATTGTCATGAATCGAGCCGTGGTTACATATTTGTATATACCACATGATACCGAGAAAAAAAACCCAATCAGGGCTATAGGGCTAGGGGCTACAGGGCTATTGAGCTATAGGGCTATAGAGCTATAGTGCTATAGAGTTGTAGGGCTATAGGGCTATTGGGCTAAAGGGCCATAGGGCTATAGGGATTAGGGCTATAGGGCACCCCCGGGCACCCGGGCACTCGGGCAGACCCGGGCACCCCCGGGCACCCCCGTTTTTTTTAAATATATATATATATATATATATTTAAAAAACGCATACATACATGGGTGCGTGGCTCAGGTGCGGATCCGTGGTGAGAATTCTGTTCGTTGCGTTGTTGTTGTTGCTGTTGTTGTTGTTGTTGACGAAGACACTAGCTGGCGCCCGCCCCCCCTCCCCGGCGCAACGCAGCGCAACCGCACCCTAAGCCGCATGGGAGTCCTATGGGGTCCTTTGGGACCCTAGAGGCAGGATCCGATTGGATTCGTGTAGGAGTCCTATAGGGTCCTATGGGATTCGTGTAGGTGTCCTGAAGGAACCTGTGGGATTCGTATAGGAGTCCGATGGGATCCAATGTGAATCGTATAGGAGTCCTATAGGATCCGATGGGACTCGTATAGGAGTCCTTTAGGCTCCGGAGGGGTAGGGGGGGGAGGATCCGGTGTTCGGCGGAGTCCGCCGACCAGTGGAGGAGGGGGAGGAAGAGGAGGAGGAGGAGGTGGAATATGATTCTTACTACCGCTAGTAGTACTACAACCACTACTATCAGGGCGACTACGACCATGACTAGCAGTAGTAGTAGTGCTACTACTACTACTACTACTACTACTACTACTATTACTACTACTACTACTACTACTACTGCTACTGCTATTACTACTACTACTAGAAGTAGTAGTAGTAGTAGTAGTACTACTACTACTACTACTACTACTGCTGCTGCTGCTGCTGCTGCTGCTGCTGCTGCTGCTTCTACGACTTCTATTAGTACTTCTACAACAACAGCTACTACTACTACTACTACTGGTGCTACTACTACTACTACTACTACTACTACTACTACTACTACTATTAGTTCGACCACTATTACTTGCACCACGAGTACTGCTAATACTACTCCTATTGTTACTATTGTTACTGCCAATGCTACTATCGATGACTACTACTAATACCACTGCTTCATATTTTGTACTACCTATTTTTGCTACTTAGTTTTGCTACCAATGCTACTAACACAACTTGTACCACTACCACGACTGTTACGACACCATTATTTCTCCTACGGTGACGACTACTTCGATTACTTTTACTAGGATTCCGACTCTTACTACCACTACTACAATTACGACTACGACCATTAATATTGCCATTACTTCTGCTACGACTACTACTGCTACCACAACTACCACTACTACTTCTACGACTACTACTACTACAACTACTACTAGTCCTACCAGTACTACTACTACTACTACTACTACTACTACTACTGCTACTGCTAGTGCTACTACTTCTCCTACTACCTACTACTACTCCAACTACTCTTACTACTTCTCCTATTATCATCATGTTTTCCATTACTACTGCGATTCAGACTCATTCTAGTATCGACATTACTATTGCCAGTATGTCAACTACTGCGGCTACTGCTACTACTACTACTACTACTACTACCACAACTACGACTAATATTACTTGTGCTACCGACACTACCACTACGGCTACTACTACTTTCGCTAGACCGTTGGCTATTATTACTATCAGTACAACTACGACTGTGACTGCCACTCGTGTAACTGCTACTACTACTGCTACTACTACGACAAGTACTACGACAATTACTGCTAA